AAAAGATCTGTGTAAGGATAAAGAATTACCCCTGTTCTCTTCCTTGCAAAGTCAGTGTGACTGAACTCAAAGCTTTTTCTGATCAGAAGTTCAGGGTTCTGCAAGCTATTTCATTTACTGCTTTAGGAGGCAGTGACGACTGAGACAAGTGTCCTTGAAGCAGGACTGTTCATTTGCAAAGAAGATACTTATTTCCTTGCTCAGAGCTTCAGGTTTCCTTTGGTGAGCACTCAGCATACAAACTCCCTTCCTCAGCTGTTCTCAGGGCCCTGCCATGTGCCTGTGTTTTATGGAGCCCAGTGTTTTGCAAAATCATTTATACAGAGGATTGGGAGAGTTCTCAAGAGCCTCTTGCACTGAACAGAGATCAAATACACTTAGATGATCAACAGATGTCTGAGTGCCCTTGGAGGTCTTTCAGACCTCTGAGAACAGATTCCACAGTATTCATATGCCTGTCCTTCTGCTTCCCTGGGTGAAAATCTTTTTTTAAAAGCCTTCATATCCAATTAAGTAGATTTCTTCACATCATTCCCCCAGTGTAGAGCAGAATATGCAGAATAATTGATCCCTGCCCTCTTTATTAAAACCATTTTTATATTAAAAGCCCTTTGTCATGTTTCACCCTTGCTTTTCCAGACTAATCACATTTAATTCCTCAATGCTTTCCTTTGGGTTTTTTTTTCCTGAACATGTTTCTCAGCTCTCCAGGCCCTTGGTGCTCTTGCCAGCTCTCTGGAGTGTTCTCAGATGGTGGTGACCCCAGCTGGGTAAATGTCTTCAGCTGGAGTCCCAACACCTCTCAGTTCCCTTTGTCACTGGGGCACTTTTTCCCTGGAAACAGCAGCGTTGCACACAGGCACTGCTGAAACTTCACCTTGTTTGATAAAGAATTTGATTTGCTGATAGATCAACGAAAGGTTGGGTATCTCCAAGGTTTTGTGGGCATGAACACAGCCAGCCTTGAACAAGTGTGTGACACCTCAGCTGTTTTCATGCCATTTCCTGAGAGGGAAGAGCAGCTGGGAGGAACTCTTTAGTCTTTTAAATAAGGCAAAAAAAAAGAAAATTTAAAAGTGGAGACTTGTCAGAGTTGTGCTAATGGCACTCAGAAGTAACTGAGCATCCTTTTCTTTTTTCTCAGGTAACCACTAATGCAGTTCCTAGTTACATTCTTTCCTTAAAAATTAAACAAGAGGCATCATAAAACTGAGATGGTGCTTTGCCAGCAAAATATTTATACCAAGGTTTTCAGTTTCTGGTCATAAAGGAGAAGATACAGGAGGCAGGAGATTTTGGTTAAAACCTGGTGAAAGTAGTGTGGGCTTCTGGACTCTTATTAAATTGTCTGGTCAAAGAAGATAATGTGATGAGAGAAATTTTTGCTGTAGGATCAATTTAAGCACTTCTTGTGCTGCCGGAGTCTGGCCATGAATCTGGTTTAGGTTCCATCAGCTTTACCCTGGTGTTACTTTGTGGAGTTGACTGGCATAATTTCTGATTTACATTATTGTAAACGAGTTCAAGAATCACTCTCTTTGCCTTCAGGAAACAGAATAGCCATTAGGGGAAATATGGGACTGTACTCGTTAAAACTCCCCAGTGTTTTGTTCTGAATGCAAGAAAATGTAATTGGTTTCTGCAGGTGTTTCTGAAGAGTTAGCAGAATATTCTTTGTCACGAGCTCAGATGTAGTGGCCTTAATCACGGTGTACTGCTCTCCTAGCTGCCACAGGACATTTAATACTTTGGAAAAGGTGTCTCTGTTCCCCTGTAAAAGCTGCATTTGCTTTTACAGCCATTGCCCATAATGCAGCAGGAGAATGGTGTTAATAACCAGTTCACTGAGGCTGCAGAAATCTCCTGCACCTCTCCAGGGAAGAAGCAACTTTTTCATCTGTAAATGGCCGAAGTGTTACCTTTGGAGGCTTTCACTCTTGGGATCCAAATGCTTCCTTGCACTCATAACCTGTGCTGCCTAATTGTTCTCCAGGGGAGCAAAAGTAGGTTGGTGGGTTGGGTTTGGGCTTGTAATTGTTTCTGGCTCCATTTGAACATTTGAAGGCTGCAGGTATGCACAGCACTCACACAGGGAAACCAGCAGGCAGGGCTGTTTGATGGGAGCAGGGGGAACTGTGAAGCCTCAAGGAAAATCTCAGGAAGGATCATACAAAGGCTCCCTAGAACTGCCTGCAGGGTTAGGAAGGGTTGGGGACGCTCCTCTCATGCACGTGGTGCCCTGAACACAATGAAGGGCTGCAGAATGACATAAAATGTTCTGCTGGGCCTGCAGAACTTTTGGAAATTACCAGCCTATGGGGAAAAAAGATTCAAAAGTCAGCAATGAGTGGTTTTGGAAAACCAAGTGGTGAATGTATCTCCCAGAAACCTGGAGAGAGGAATCACAATTTGTGTCATTTTTAAACACTTCCCATGTTGTCTCACCATTTCTTTTGCTCATTCTTCCCCTTTTTCCCCTTTAAGAATTTAATTTCTTAGGAAATAAGAATAAGTGTTAGCTGAATGCTTATAATAATTTTTTTTATATGTACTTTGATCTCAGATGAAATTTGATGGATTTAGTACTCTAGAAATGCATAATGGGCATGACCTTCCAAACTAACCTCAAGGCAGCTTACCTTCCATTGGGAAATGAATTCCCAATGGGACATGAGGTTGCCTGGCATGAGTAAGAATCAGGTCACTTGGTCTAAATGACTAATTATGCAGTGTAATATTTAGCTTTTGGATTCCAGCTTTGACCTATAAATGTAGAACAAGTTCTAGATTCAGTTGATAGTAACTTCAGCTACAGGTTCTAGTATCAGTTTTACTGAAGTGCTGCTCCATTCACACCAGACAACATTCCTGATTCACAGCAGTGCAAACACTGTGGAGCTCAGTGGTGTTTCTGTACCCTGTAAATCAGAGGGATGTTCATCTTGAACTGGGTGTTGGACCAGTGGATTCACTCAGCCACATACCAAGCTTGGGGCTTCCCATGAGCTTGTTTGTGCAAATGTTACCCATGGAGTAAACAAACTATACATTATAGGCATTAATTCATCTATCTCTGGCCAAAATCAACTGAAATAGTCCTAATCATTAGGCTTTGGTTCATATCTGAATATTGCTTTTAAAGGCTTTTTATTTAAATCTGTTTCCCTCCTTTTTCCTCCCCAATAGATTCAATGCTTTGGGTCTAGAAAACGGGATTTTTGAGGTTTTTTCCTCATTTTTTCACAGCTTCACTGTTGCCTCTACTTACTCTCTTGAACTAAAACTGGGACTTAGATTTCATCATAGGCATCTATAGCTAAGGATTTCTGTAAGTTTTCTGATTTACTGAGACTTGTTCTACAGTTCTGATTTCCTGTCAACCCCAGTGGTCAACGAGCTGAGAATTTCTGGCTTTTTCTCAGTCTCTTCAACTTTTAGATGATAAGGTGGAGGGCTTATCTGCCTCTCAAGAAACTATGAGACTTCTTAATTATTAGTAATCTGCTCTGTCTGTGATTAGAAGTAGGTGTTCCCTGGATATCTTTTGCTGAGGAAATGGAGGAATTATATTGAGGAAATGAGGAAACATTTCAGTGAGGTCAAAGGTACCCCCAGCACGTTGTGCAGATTGCCTGTCGAGGCTGAACAGTGAGACTGCATTACACAGCATGCACAGACAGTTCTCTAAACCACATTCCTATTTAAAAACATTCAAGTGGAACAAACTCACTTTTTCATGTCACAGCCAGGATCAAATTCACATTTCAGCAGCGGGAAGGAAAAGATAAAAGACTTAATTCAGCTTTCCCCATGCTGGGGATTTTCTGTGGCTCCACCTCTGCCCCTTCCCCTGTCCTTATTCCCAGTGTTTTTGAACTCTGCCTGCACTGCATTTCAGTGCTTGCCAAGACATCTCCAACTAAGGGTGAGTTAATGAGAACATCTGGCCAGGAATGAGTGATGATGCTCTGTGACCCACCCACTCAGCACATCTGGTGGTCATGGCCACGGGTGGGGGACCTTACAGAGTGTTGAGGCTCCTGCAAGGAAAGGGGATTTTGTCATCTGTGGCTGGATTTATTGTTAATACCCGAATTAAATTGTTTATATAAAGGGACTTTCATGTAAATGGGAGAAATGTCTATAAATAGGTGCGCACACACACACAAATATACACTTTTTAATATAATTACAGTATGCAGTCAATGAGTAAGAATGTGGACTGCCTAAAAACTGTCTTTTTAGATAATTAGTCCCAAACATCTGTAACTGGTTAACCATCAAGGCATTCTGCAAGAGACCTCTCTTTGGTAAGGGCTTTTTGAAGGGGCTGAATGTACATTCTCTCCGAAGGGAGGAGAGGATGAAAAGAGTTTATGTGCTTGGTTGGCAAAGTTCCTCTCAGAAACTGTTATTTTAAAACTGCTGAATTAATTTCTTTTCCCTTTAAGGATGAACTAAGGTGCTCATCCAGACACTTTTGTGAACATCTTTATATATATATATATATATATATCTCAATAAATACCAGTGCTCTGCTCTTGTTTTTCTTTGCTGGTTAAAAAAAAAAAAAAAAAAAAGGGTGGATTTTTCAGACAGCACAATGAATCGCCCATGAAGTGAAAACACTGGGCAAATTCTCTTTTGTTTAATGGAATGGCCTGTACACAGTTCAGGCCAGCACATTTTTCATGGGATGCAAGGGAGCAGTTCAGAGAACTGGCAAGGAGTGTGTCCTGCATATTCATGAGGCTGGGCAAGGAGGTGAAGGTACAGGAGAAGGCAGAAAAGCGATGTGAGGCTAGAGTGGAATGTGGAGCGAGTTACCACGGTATCCTATTTTACTGCTGTTTGACGTAAAGCTCCTTTGCTTTTACACAACCGCTGGAATTGAATGGAAGCAGCTCAGGGCATAAATAATGAATGTGCCTTTGACACGTTAGGAGAGGAGAATCTACACCTTATCCCTGAGTTCATGTGGCCCTCTCTTCTCTCCCCAGTCTCCAGCCTATGTTCCCGAAGTCAGTCAAGATCTTGTCCAGCAGACAGAGGAGAAACTCGAAAACAGCCCCTGCAAAGAGCTCTTCTCTCAGTGTACAAAGTAAGTATAACTCGATGCCCAGAGGTGGCAGGGAGGAATGTGTCAGGTGGGGGGAGACGCTGCAGTTCGAACCTGAGGCAGGTACCTTTGGCTTCTGCTCGTAGTCCTGGAGGCATAGCTGACAAGCTAGTGAAGTCATTTCATCTGAACAAAATATAATAAATATTTCCATGCCATTATACACACTCCACACAGGCACTTACTGTTTCAGGTATTTGACAGAGTGTTCTAGCCAAGTAAACCAGCCATGGGCTTCATGCTGTGTGAAAAGAGCTACAATGATAATGTATCCAAAGAAAACATCTCTGTTTCAAAGTGAATAAAAATTAAGTGGCTATACGGTCCATTTAGACAGAGGAATGTGCAAACTCGCTCCGCATGGCTTTTCCAGAAAATCTTCACCAGGAGAATGGGGCTTTTTTTAATGCTTTCTGTCTGCCCTTGGCGTTCAAACCAACGTGCATTATTTCACCCCTTTGTCCGGGGAAAAGGCTTATCGGTTCCTGCAGCGGGGAGGCGATTTGGGCCATTATGTGCTAAAGCTCCAGGTATGCAATCTGCATTTGCAAACGCTGGCCCGAACAGTAGATCATAAACCCAGTAAAAATATGAAAGGGAGGGCTCATCCCGCGCTGGCCCGTGCGGTTTCTGGCTGAGCGCGGTTTGTTTTCCCCGGATGATGTAATGGGGATTTGTAACATTCGCTCCGCTGTCATTCATTGTTTTGACTCATTTCATTGACCTTTTCTGTTTTCAGTTATTCTTTGCGTTGGTAGGAGCCGCGGGTTATTTCTGGCCCTCCCCGGCAGCCCAGCCGGTGTCCCTGGCCGCGTGGGGATGCTCCGGCCGTGTGTGCCAGTCCCGGTGACAAAGGCAGGGCTGTGCTCCTCGCAAACCCCCCCGGTGCCTGTTTCCAGCCCTCAGATCGGCTCGAGAGCTGACAGTTCCCTCTAAAACGTGCTTGGTTGTTGCCAAAGAGCGGGACTCAAAAGCAAACAACTGCTGAAAGGCAGCTATTGTTCTCCTAAAATACGTGCAGCTTTTAATTGACTGAATGGAGCGGGCCGGCATTGGACACCACTTAATGCAGGCCCGTATTCACCCACAGCCATTCCTTCAGCTCCCAAACAGATAAATGAGCCAGGTCTGAGGCCTTGTTAATAAATATGCCGGTCGTTTTCACACGGACTGAAAATGAGGTCGAAAGGAAGCTTTAAAAACTCGCTGTTGGTATTTACTGGGACTGAATAATGTTAATTTTGAAAGAGTTCACAGTCAGACCAAAAAAGGGAGGAATACATACAAATATGGAGCCTGCTGTCCTGTACAAGCAGGGACAGGGATGAGTGTCATTCACATCTTCATAAATAAAAATCAGTCTGCAGGAAAAATGCATGTGTAGCTCTAGCTCCTGCTTTGACCTTTAATATTTTGACTGTCTGCTCCTGCCCCCATTTAAAACTGTACATTTAAGACTTACTTTTAATTTTATTTTGTAAGCTTGAATCCATTAGAGAAACTGTATGATCAGTGTCCAGTCAAAGCTAATGAAGACAAAAATTTGACTTACTGAGTATGTGCAATTACCTGCCTGCTCCAAACTGATGGCGTAAGAATTTAAAAAAAAAAATAAAATAAGAGCTGAGAAATTCCAAAAATAGTAGCTCAGGAACAGGGAGAAACTAAACTGGGGAGACACATTATTCATGGTGACTTGTCTGCTCAGGCCTAGAACTGCCTCAGGGTAAGACAAACTCTCCATTCCCAAAGTAGAGTAGTCCTTCAGAGAGGATTTCCTCCTTCCAGCAAAATCTGGAAATGTGTCTGTATGCCCTTAGACAGAAATGCTCCTTTTTTTCTGGGCATTTTTCACCCCAAACCAACTTTAGTCCTGCCAGTGCTGCCGGCAGAGGTGGATAAGCAAGGCCAGGGCCACCAGCAGCAGGTGAACAACCCCCTGTCAAGCAGTGCAACCACCTTCATTTCAGCCAACTGGCTCAGCTCAGCCCCTCCTTTCTTAGTTCTGAACCCTTGGCCTCTCTTATGGGGTGCCTGATGGTCTCTGGCTGCCTGTCACAAGGGACAGACTTTGTCCTCACATTTGCAGACTGGCCTTTTTAGTCCTTCATTCCTTTCATTACGCAAAAGATTTTGCACCCACTGCATGAGCCCCAAAATGCTTTCCTTGATCCAGAAACAAATCCACATCCCTGTTGAGACTTTTCTTTCCTCTGTTTCACTCTACAAAGCACATAGCTGTTAGGAAAACCCCTTTGACTTTAGTCACATGTACTTCTTCTTCTGCATAGGAGGATTTGAAATTGATATTTTCCCTCAGAGTGATGCCTCTGACAGAAATGGGCTTCAGTCAGAAATCCTCTATCAGATGTAAACATCCCCCAAGGTTTAGGAGCTCAGTTCCTGAGGCAGTAGTGTTAATTTAGTAACAGAAGTAAAGGCATTTGTTGACTCTGGAAAAGTCCATTGAAGCCAATGGGAGTTGCCCTGTTAATTTTCAGCAAGCATAACCAGTGTATATTGCAACTCAGCATGTATAAGGCCTCCTGTTATGAAATACATCAAGCATATCACTTTGTTCCCAGATTGAAACTGGGAGTGAAATAAAGTAAAAAATAAAGGGAAACTAAAATAATCCTAGCAGACAAGAAGTCTGGATTTTCTCCTCTTGTTTTGTTTCTCTTTTGCTCCAAGTTCAGGATTATAAAATGCTTATATATCCTTTTCATCTGAGATAGATCTGTCCTTGACCACCTCAGTGGGGAACCATTCCAAGAATACCTAAGCAGCATGTACTTCGACAGGTTTCTTCAGTGGAAGTGGTTGGAAAGGTAAGTGTCACAAGATTTTTTTTTTTTTTTAATGAAAATAAATTTTAAAAATGTTTATTTTTACTTTTCATGCAAAATCCGTAGAATATGCTCAAAATCTGATATGTTTGCTTGTAAAGATCGAGTGTTTGGCCATTTAATGGTATTAGGTATGATTAATTACATTCAGCAACTTCAGTTGTCTTTCTGTTGAGCTGCTCTCTGAATGTGGTGACTTTTTCTCTGCACCAGTTGTCACTGTTATTAAATCACTCTAAACAGAGAAAAATACACCATATATGTTTGCTAGACGTTTCTGAGCACATTTAATAAGCAGGCAGCCTTAGTGGGTAACAATTTGCAAGGAAAGGGGCTGCTGCCTTTTCCTTGTCAGGGAGGGCTGTAGCAGACATTCACCACTGGGCAACAGTGATCTCGGGTTGAGAGAAGACCCATTTTCCACAAGTGGAATTAATTAGGGCAGATGAGTTCGGGCCAGAGCCACGAGCGGTGTGTGTCAGCGTGAGGCCTGGGAGATCAAAGGAGCTGTGCCAGCTCCCCTCCCTGGAAAGCTGCAAAGCTGCAGCACAGGAGGGGTGGGCAGAGGGAGAGCCATTCTGTGCCAAGATATGCTCCACGTGCCATCCTCGCCCAGTCCAGCATTTACCCTGCCATTTCAATTAAAAGAACCCATCAGATGATTCATCTCTGGCCAGGCTGTTTCCTATCTGTTTTCCCATCAGGGATAAGGAATTTTCTGACATGCTTTGAGGATTTTTTTTTTCCCATTCCCCCAAAAAATATGACAAGCCATTGGATATGCCTGGCTTAAGAAGTTGGGAGAGCTGCTTTTAGGGTTAGCAAAGAGATGTTGGCAGCATGGAATGATCACCAGCTCCTTCTGACAGCCTGCTGGCTCCAAGGGAGCAGTCACACAGTCCATTTACTCCAGGGACATTGCTGAACATGTAGTTATCACTGCTAATTGTTGCTTTTAACCCCAACAGCATTTGCAGCAGCCTGGCAGAAGCCTGAAAATAGCATCTTTTCCTCTTCTAGCTTTGACCTTCTCCGTATTTTTCTTCTTCCACTTCGAAAAACAATAATGGGCATTAATGAAATGATTCACTTTAACATTTATTCCTCATTGTCATCAACCTCATCATCCCTGTGGTGGGAACAGCCACGTTACTGTGCTCCCTCTGCAGGCTGGCCACCCTCCAGAGGGGAACAATGATGGGAGGAATATCCATTTCTGCTGCTAAGATAGTTGTAAAACTTTGGAGGTGGAGTGATGGATACAAACTGGATCCTTACACATCTAGAATTCTTCTCTGTCACGTTAGAAAACTTCTGCAGCAGCAAAGTAAAAGTTAGATGTGGATGGATCTGGAGCCATTCTGGTGGAGCAGGTTTTGTGGGAAGCCTGTGAGATTGCCCAGAGATCATGTCTAGTGTTTGCTGGGGAGCACTCTGCCCTCAGAGACAGACTTATTTAACCCTTACCTTGGTTTTTGCTCCCTCCTTGCTCGTGGCACTCCCCTAGGAGGCAGGTAGGCCAGGGAAGGGGTCATAAATCCACCTCTCCTGTTCCCAGGATTGTTTTTTCCCTTGATTCACATCAGTTTCATGTTTTGTTTAAGACACCAGAAATATCTCGTAGTGGATTGAATTTTGGATCTCTTTTCTTGTCTTGCACACCAAGCAAAGCGATGTGTTACACCATCCCATATATCATGGGAATTAATATCTTGTTGGAAGCTTTCAGGCCTCCTCTTTGCTTAACAAAAGCCAAAGCTACATAATGGAGATTCAGAACCCTCCTTGGTCTTAAGATGCTAGCAGAAATTATCCTGATGACTCACTAATGTGTTGTATTTTATTACAGCTTAATATGTTGGAATTGAAAAGTTCAAGCCATACATAGTATTGAAGTAATGCAATTACATAATTATATATTATATTATATAATATGATTACCCTGAAATAATGTGATTATGTAATATTTATCTATTTTGCTTTTCAAAAGTATGCTCTGAAGTAAATAAATCACAGAGAGTGCATTAAATGTAGCGTGCCTTTTATTTATTTATTTATTTATTTATTTCCTTTTCTTCCAGGCAACCAGTAACGAAAAACACGTTTCGGCAGTACAGGGTACTGGGGAAGGGCGGCTTTGGGGAGGTGAGTGATTCTGAAACTTTTCTGTTAAAGAGTGGTTCTTACTTTTTGGGCGCTGCAGGTACAGGAGCCTGATGGCGACAGAGACTGATTCTCATTAATTGCTCACAGTTTCACTTAACCCCCCTCATGAGTGCAATCTCAAAAGGATGCTTCTGAGGGTTATTTTGTGTTTGGATGTTGCATTCCCAGCGGAGTTAGGGTCACACCCTTATCTGTGTGTTAGGGCTCGAGGCTGCTGGAGAGGCAGGGGAGGTGCAGGCGGGCTCCGGCTGAGCAGATCGCAATCCGCGCAGACAAAAGGAGGTGGGATGGGAAGCAGGCGGAGGAAAGTGAAATAATTAAACCGGTGTCACACAGCAGGTTTGGAAACAGCAGTCGGTTCCCCAGCTGCCCCCACCCAAGCCTCATTCGCTAAGCCTCGGTCTCTCGCCTTAAAAGGACTAAATCGGAGGAGGTCGTGAGGAGTGAAGCGCAGCCCAGACGCGGCGTTTGCTTCGAATTACCCGGCAATTGTTCTCCCTAATTCGCAGGTCTGCGCCTGCCAAGTGCGGGCCACGGGCAAGATGTACGCCTGCAAGAGATTAGAGAAGAAGAGGATAAAGAAGAGGAAAGGCGAATCCATGGCGCTAAACGAGAAGCAGATCTTAGAAAAAGTCAATAGTCAGTTTGTAGTGAGTATCGAGCTCTGCTCCCCGCTCGCCTGCTGGGCACTGCTGGTGTTGAATGCGATGCCTCCTCCATCTCCCGCTGCTGCCCTTTGCTTTGCCCCTCGTTCCTGCTCCCTGCACCTTTCCCGAGTCTCCTTTCAGTCTCTGGTGCGTGAGAAATGCACCAGCCAAGGGGCCTGTGCCTCCCATGGGAACAGGATGCGTTCTGCAGCCTCCACTTGCATCACAGCTGCATCAGCCTGAGCTATTTTTATCCAGCGTGATTACCTGAATTCCCAGGGTCTGGGAGAGAGCAGCTTGGAAGAGACTAAAGCAGGTTCAACTTGAATAGATCAGAAGAGATTGGCTTGTAGAAGCATCTTAGCAGCAAAGTGGAGCTGGTCTGCCTGATGTAGGGCTTTCCTGAGTCACACCAGCTCTTGTGCCCCTTTTAAAACTTCCCTTAGTTAAAAAAAAAAAAGAAAGAAAGAAAAAAAAAGAGAGGTGTAATCTCAGCATCTGCCGTGTTCTTTATACTTATTTCAGGAAACACTGTGTATACAACAGAGGCAAGGTGTTTACTCATCTCTGGCAGAAGCCAAGACAGTGGCACGTGTTTAAAAGTGGTGGCTTTTGGCTTCTCTGCTTTTTCCTGGGGCACTCACAAGAGACTCCAAGGAATAACACTGACCTTCACGTCTCAGTGATGGTCCATTTGATCCTCCAGGACTGGTCTATTTGGGCCTTCCAGGGAACTTACTGAGATGCAAAACAGGGCAGCAGGAGGTGTAGTTTCCCTTGATTACTAAGATTTCTCTTACATTGAAAAAAATATGCCTGGAATTAGTATGTTTGTCCAGCCTGTGAAGCTATCTGAGCCTTGAGGGTTTCTGGTGATAAATAGGCTGGATTGAACAAATTAATCTGCAAAATCCTAACACCTGATTTTTCTGTGCTTTTAAATTGTGTGCTTGCCATTGTAATAAGCCCTGTACCAAATTCAGTCCGCGTATTTTTTAACTTCTCTAGAAAAAAACTCGTGAATGAAAAGCCAGCTCCTCCTCCTTAGCAGCTAACTGAACTGTCACAACTGTGCCACAACTGTTTTTCTAGGTCAATTTAGCCTATGCCTATGAAACAAAGGACGCCCTGTGCTTAGTTCTGACCATAATGAACGGAGGGGACCTGAAGTTTCACATCTACAACATGGGCAACCCAGGCTTTGAGGAGGAAAGAGCTTTGTTTTACGCAGCAGAGATCCTTTGTGGCTTGGAAGACCTGCACAGAGAAAATACTGTGTACAGGTAAGAGCTCTCTAGAGCCTTAGGAGGTCTTTTCTGGGTGGGAAGGTATTGCCTGCCTCCTCCTGTGCAGCTTGGGTGCCCGAGTGCTTTGGTTGAAATTTCGCAGAGCCCTGTGTAAATGCAGTATGATTCAGTCATCGTGGAAGGAAGCAGTTCCTCCACTAAGCACATCCTGTCTAAATTACACAGAACCAACACAAAGCTCCCCAAACCCTGCCTCAGCGTGCACTGGGTGACACAAGAAAATGATGGAAGTTCCTTTGAAGAAATTTCATTAAGGAATCCAGTTCCTAGTTGGCCTGAAATGGAGATCGCTCCACCCAAGCCTCCTCCTAATTACTTAGATTATGTTGCACGCGAGGCCGGAGCGCGTCAGACGCGGAAAAACCCTCCCTCCTGGATTTTTCCCAAGAGGGTGCCTGAGACACAGGGCAGGGATTCACGCCCTGGGAGGGGAGCTGGTGTGATTAGCTGGATTGGATGGTGGTGGCCGCAGTGGCAGCCGTGGCAGGAGGCTCCTGCTGGCAGCATCCCCCGCGCCGTGGGTGCATCCAGCGGGCACAGCTCTGCCCCGGGGAGGACACGCTGCAGCTTCTCAGCTTCCACTTCGGCTTCCAGCTCTGGGAGAGCACTTTTCCAGGGCACCACGGGGCCCACTCGCTGGATAAGCGGGCTGATTGCAGGCAGAGTTCCTGCGACTCCACGAGGATTTATTTTTTTAATCAGCAACCGGCGTAGTTGTAAACAACAGTTAGTGTTTGTCTTCATCATCCCAGCTTGTGAAATCATTATGGCTGGCATCCACACAGCAGAAGAGGGCCCTGTAAATTGATGAAAGGACTTCCAAGGACAATGATTAATAGGCAATAATATGTTATTTTTAAAAACCAAGCCGCACTTTAAATCATTTGATGTGCCCACGTGCCACATGCATGATGCATATGCTTGTACGGATAGAAATTACAATATTGTTGTTCCTTGGAGGAGATCTCTAGCAAACTGCCACTTGCTTGCCTCACTGTGCCTCAGCTCTTGCTGGCTGGCATATGGAGGGCAGACAGATAACATGCTGGTTTAGTTGGTGCTGGCCCAAGAAGGAGATTTTTTTTTTTTTTCCCAAAGAGCAAAATGGAACTAAGTGTGTAATGTCAGTTGGAAAATCAAATTGTGTGAGTGAAGTGTCTGACTTCCCTTTTCTTTGAAAAACATCCTACCACATTTTAAAAAAAATTTAGGAGATGATAGAGTGTTTCTTTTAAAAGTGCTAGATTACAAGCACATTTTATTGAAGAAAATGACTGGCACATTCATAACATGGCTGATATAATGCCATACTAATGCCATTTTCTAATGGAACGAACCAGATTGGTCACCTGGAGTAGTACATGGCTCTGAGAGAAATGGCATCCTACTTCTTTAAGCAGTTCTTTTCATGTTACTCTTAAAAGAGCTGCTGGTTTACACCTCAGATGACACACTCAGTTTGGTGATGAATGATATTATATCCTTTTAGGTGACATTTTCTAGCAGTATTTTAGGAGCCTCTGCAGAGACCCCTAATTTGTAGTACCACAGCGTGTTTTAGGGCCCGTGAGAAGTCCTATACAGGTCAATAAAATACAGCAGCTAAACTGCCACTTTCTCAGGGCGAATAATTCATCACAAAACGCTTATTGCTCAGGCCTAATTTCATTTTCTATAAACAAGATGCTTGTGAGTAAATCACAGCATTGGGAAACACCCCCCCCCATCTCCTGGGCTGCGGTGGTGCAGACGTGACCCGAGAGAACAACCAGGCTCAGAGTCACATTTCTCTGGTCCAGAATTCCCCTGTCACACATGGCACTTGTGCTACATTTCTCATGGTTAGTAAAGGTCAATGGGTTGATGGTTTGTGGAAAGCAAACATAAAAAAGCTGCTGGTTCTCCTTGTATTATTTTTCTATGTATAAATATGTATACATGTGACTTTTTTTTAGGTTTTTTTACACGTATCTACATATACGTACATATGTGTAAATAATTTTCATGTGTACTACAACCATGCCTGGAAGCTCCAGTCAGCATCAATATCACATTGTCCTAGGCATTTTGCCCAAATTTATGGTAAAGCCTTGTCCACTGTGATTAATTGAGTCCTTTATGCTTTCCCACCCAGCCAAACAATGTGCCACTGCCTTCAGAGCTTGGGCACAGCACCAGCAGTTCATGTTTCAGTATGTTTGGGTAAGGCTACTTTGCATGTGGCAAGTTGTACCGTTGGAAAATAGCCTTGCATGTCACTGTGTCCACCAGGGACTTTTATTTCTCCTAGACATTTCATTCTTGAACAGCTGGAAGTGATGGCCGTGCCAAAGGGGCCAGCCTCGATCCTGGGGAACCAGAAATCTGAAAACAGGAGTGACAGCTGATGTCTGGTGGGGGGAGAAAAGCTTGCTCTAATTGCCCTAAATCACAGAGGACTGTAGGGACCCAACTGCTGTTCTCAGGGTTCTCGTGGAGTCTCTCATTTTCTCATCCAAAGCCAGCACTGCCCAGCCTGCTTGCAGGATTCTTGTAATTGGGGCCCAGTTACAGCTTTAAGTGGGACCAGTAACTGCTGGAGCAGAAGGTTAAGTAACTGGGGAAGGCTGAGTTCTTCAACAAAATAGTTCTTACAGGGTTTGAAATATATTTTTAGAAATAAATAGGAGATGCCCTTGACTGTGTTGCTCCAGCACTGGAAACCTTCTGTTGATAGACAGGGAAAGCTCACGGTGGTGTGTTAAATAAAATCACAGCTTCTCCTCAGCATTCAGCTGCCTTTCACATATTTCAGTATTGTTTATTTGAAAAGTAGGCTTGGTACCACTGGGCACCCAGTGAGGTTTATCTTGAGAGGTCGAGAGGGTCTGAAGCAAGCAAGAAGAAGAGATTATTCACAGTGCTGTGTGTTCTTGCCTGAAATAATAAATAAAAACAGGGCAAGGTTTGAAATTTTAATCTTGGCATTGTCAGAACTATAAAATACCCCTCTCCATTCCCAGGACAGTTCATAACACCGGAGCTGGAGGCCCAGGGCAGGCTCCTGCCCAGGCTCTGGGCAGTGTTTCCCTGGTGCAAGGGTTTGTGCAGCCCCTCCCCTGGCTCTTTGCAAAGCATCGCCCCTTGCTGGGCAGCCAACAGGATCAAGCTGGTTCACAAGTGCAGGGAGGCCTTACAAAGGGAAGAGGCCAAGCACTGCTTGGATCTGTACCAGGCTGAGCACTGTGCTCAGATGAAAGCCAGGGCACGCTGTGGTGAATGGCAGCAGTGTGGTTCTCCCTGACTCACTCCTGGGCCAGCACAGCCCTCCTGGGACACTCCCTGCCCATCTCCCTCCCCTCTCACACCTCTGGGCCCCTCTCCCAGGCACGAGCAGGAAGGGAAGGAGCCTGTCTGGCAAAGCTGTGCTCAACTGGGCAGGTTTGGGAAACAGCCGTGGCCGAGCGAGGGCACCTGAGCGTGGCTGGGCTGGGCAGCATCTGAAAGGAGCAGCTGGCGGAGTGGGTTTTCTGCAGACAAACCTTTCAGAAGAATGACCTGCCAAGGCTCTGCTAAATATATGAAAACTGAGATTATTTATTTCAGAAGTTTATAACTTGGCTAGATTTGGGCTTTTTTTTTTTTTCAGAGGAGCAGTGAAAGGCTCATCTTTGACATCAGTGACCACCTTGCCAATTTTCATGGCATTACTCCAAACCCCATAGGCACTAGAGTTTCACAAATGTTTGTAAGAAGAGTCTTAATCTGGGCAAGGCATTCCCCCCTGCCCCTCTTTTTCCAAACGTGGTGAAATTATTACACATGTGTGCAAGTGCATGGACACACATTCACATATTTGGTCTGAGTCAGATGCCAGGCATGGAAAATCTGAGCCCAGCAGATTGCTGTTTCCATTTTCACGTGCAAATAAAGTGTTTTAAAATTTAAAATATTTTTCTTTATGACAAAAGTTTTTATAAGAGAAAACGTTGCAGAGATTTTACAACACACAGGACTTCAGGCTTTGGTTTACAGGGCTTACAGCACTAGATGGATGAGTCCATTACAGAGCGGATTAGGAACTAAAAGCTTGGCTTAGTGAAAAATCCCAACTCCAGTTTAGAAAAAGACATATGGTTTCAGTCTCTCTGTGAAGTGAGTTGTAAAAGGTTGTATTGGTTTCAGGGGTTCCTTGCTGTTTGAGTTGACACTCAGTTGGTTTATTACCAGTAATAAATGCACTCGCACAGTTGTACGGTTATGTTATCAAAACCAGCTTCATACCAACGGCTGCTATCTTTCATTTTCAGAGATCTGAAGCCAGAAAATATCCTGCTGGATGATTATGGTAAGTCTCCGAGGTTTACAGAGATGCTTTCACAGTAAAGCAGATTAAGTTAGTTTTAGGATATATATATTGCACAAAGACAAATAATGCCCTGAGGTGATTAGGAGGCTCAGCATACACTGCTGTTGCCGTGCTGGGGAGGGTGAGCTGCTGGAGCTCCTGCACAGATGGAGCGGAGCAGCCGTGCCGCACAGCAGGGGCTGTGCTCTCGAGCACGGCTCTGCTGGGGCTGTCTGCCTTCCTGCATTCTCTTTCCATCCTTCTTGCTGCAAGGCTGATGCAATATCAAGGAAGTTCTGATTTCTGACTCCCTGCTTCCCGCTCGGTTTTCAGAAGTCTGGCTCGGAGCAGACCCAGGTACCCCTTTGTTGCTGAGGGCAGTGATAATTGAATCTCATGCTGACCTACAGACCAGATGTAGCCCCTTCAGCCATCAGAGAGTTACAGAATTATGTCAGCCCATCCATTCTCTGTGATCAGTTCAAGATACTTCCCCAAATGCTTCTCATTGCCTTTTTACGTTGGTTTTAAAATATCTAAGGAGATCCACTGCCGTCCACAGCCTCACTGTTAGCGATAATTTCACTGCATTATAGTGGCCTTAATAATTCCTCTTTTCCTTATCAGTGAAACTGCTCCAATTCAGTGATTCAGAACACTCTTTTCCTAAAATGTCTGAGCAGTAAATTGCAAGAGTATCGACCACAGCTGGGGGGTTTGGACTAATTTGGGTCATGTTATTATATCTGCTTTTTGGGTTTTTTGTTTCTATTTTCCTTCCAGGCCATATTAGAATATCTGATTTGGGTCTGGCTGTTAAAATCCCTGAGGGTGAATCAATCCGTGGAAGAGTAGGGACAGTAGGGTATATGGGTAAGTCTTCTACAGCTCATCTTTTATATAATTACTTGACTTCTAGTGATATTTCTGCCGTGTAAGCTTGAGAAAAAGAACAAAAATATTCACATTCTGCTGGGTCCAGTTCCTTGCAGCAACCCACACAGAAATCATGGTAGGGGAAATCAGAAGGATGGACCACAGCAGCTCTCAGTGAGTCTGGTCTATAGCCTTATATTAGCAAAGAAAATAAAAAGGGGAGACAACAACTGGGATTCTAGTGATTTAAGTGTAGATTTATTTTAAGAGGGTTATGTGCTAAAAGAAAGGTTTCTTTCTAGTTACTACTTTAAATGAGAAGTGAGAAAATGATAGTTTGTGATAAAGTGGGTAAGCAAGCCCACATCTATGGTTGTCTTGAGCAGAGTTATCTTGAGTCTTCCCCTCTGTGCAGGGGAAGCTGCACAGAAGAAGGGTAGAGATCTGTGCATTGGTAAAAAGAAAACACTCTCCCCAATTCAACTAGACCCGTTTTCTACGTTCAGTGTCATTGTTCTCATGCATTCTCTGGGTGGGCATATTTCTTGGAGTAAAAATTGCTTATGCTTATTTGACTGAATAGAAACTAGCTGATGTGAGCCACTGTTGCACCACACGGAGACTTTAATGAAAGCAAGCAAATCAGTTGTCATGTGTAAATGTTGTTACCCCAGCGTAAGTTGGCACGTGCACCAAGGCCCTGTGCTCGTGAGCACGTGCGTGTGTTTGTACCCATGCATGGAAGTGAGGGTGCCTGCAGGACAGCGACCACACACCCAAAGCACTGTGTGGTTGCAACGTGAAATAAAGGGATTGTTTTATTTTTAAAGTGGGAGGGGAAAAAAAAAAAAGTTATGAATTGACCAAAAAGGCGGAATTTGCTTCTGGAGAAATGTCACGGCCGTCTACAGGACGTGCGTTTGTGTTTCGTTTCTTCCCTAAATGGAGAAGTCTGGAGGGACTCTTTAAGTTTAGGTCTCTGCTTAATATTTAGCTTCAACTTCTTTCTGGTTTGTTTGGGTGTTTTTTGTTTTTTTTAATTGGACTGAGTTGGTAGAGCAGCCAGAAGACAGCATGCACAAGGCATGGAGCATGGAGAGAAAACAGCATGGCATGGAGCATGCTGCATTCTCTGTAATGCAACCAGTGGAAATCAGGAGGTGTTTTTATATTTTACCCACCAGTCTCTGTGCATGTGTATTCAGTCGCCAAAATGAAAGTTCTAGACACTTGTTTTGCCTATCTGAATATCAAGCATCTCCATGAGACGTATCACTCTCCTCCACAGCTCCAGAAGTGCTGAACAACCAGAGATACACACTCAGCCCTGACTACTGGGGGCTAGGCTGTCTCATTTATGAAATGATTGCTGGGCAATCACCGTTTCGTGGAAGGAAAGAGAAGGTGAAGAGGGAAGAAGTGGACAGGAGGGTGCTGGAGACAGAAGAGGTGTACTCCCATAAGTTTTCTGAGGAGGCCAAGTCCATCTGTAAAATGGTAAGGGGCTGGAAGGCCCAGTGTGGCAGCTTCATTAACAAGCTGTGTCTGGCAGGGTCTGAGCAGTAACGAGGTACCACAGGGGGGCTGCAGAAACAGGGACTAACCAAGCTCATCTGTCCATGGGGTGACTGCATTCCCTGTTCGTTCTAATTGTGTTTATTTGGGCTTGCTTCTCCGTGAGATTCATCACGGTCATCTTGAGCCCTCTCCAGAGTTTTAAGGCCAAGGGAGCAGTATCTATTCTCATGAGACTTCGAATGTTAGTTTGCAGTCAGGAATGCGTTTCTGTCTTTTATAACGCTGTAGAAAAAAATAAAAAGGGCTTGATGATGCAAGACTCTGGTTGTCTCCTGCAAGGAACTGAAAACCCCAGGCTTCCATTGTCTTTGGTGAGAGCTGGGGGTAAGCAGGACAAGGATTATGCAATGAAATTATTGTGACACTCAAATGTTGTCCCAGCCCATCTCACTGACTTTGTTAGCAGCTTTTCCCCCAGGGTGCCAGGGTATCCAGCTTTTCTTAATACTGTTGAGCTGTTCTTCAGAATGTTTTCTCACTCTTTCAGCTGGGAGTCATTTTTGTAGCACAATAGCCATGTCTGACAATAGAAATCCTCAAACCCTCTGAGAAATCTCAAAGCTGTGTCTGAATTCATCAATGTCTTGTTGACATCCATCTTTAGAAGACGGAATTGGAGTTTGGAAAGGGATGTGGCCTTTCTCTTGATGTTGTTTGCTAACAAGTGAAGTCTCCTTTGGAGACAATGACATATCTGTGTGTACTGGAGAAAGGTCAACAAATAGGTAGTGAGAGTTTCACCAGTGTCTTGTGCAACAGGCAAGCAAAGAGCAGATCGAGGCCATTCTGGTTGGCTGGCTTCATGAAGGGACACTGAGGTCTCCTTGCAAATAATAATGGTAACATTGCCAAGTGTGGTGGCTGGAAGCCATTAACTCACAGTGCTCCAGCCCACTGCTGAATCCCTGGGTAGTAATTATCTGACATCACTCTTGATAGATGCTCTAGGCCATTCACTGCCCTTAACTGGAGATTCAGAGCCCCCAGTGAAGTCGACATGGGAAACTTTAGGACAGCCACAGGCTCTTACAAACCATCTCATGTGCTCAAACAGCCTTCTCTTCTCAGGTAGCTTCTTAACTGTCAGCAGGTGAGGAGCAGAGTGTGCTGGAGTGGCAGAGGTTTGTGCATATCCTGCTGTTAGTGTGGAATGGAAATGTAGTGGGCAAAAATGATATCTTGTTGCTTATTCCATAGTTATGTGCAAGCATGAGGCATAGAATCAGAACAGTTTGGGTTGGAAGGGACCTTTAAAGATCATCCAGCCCAAATCCCCTTTTCTGGCTGACATACCTGTAGAAGCCCTTCTTGTTACTCTTTATGTCTCTTGCATAACAGAATGAAAGTCTACTTTGAAAATAAGCAAGCCCACAAGAACTTAAAGTGGAGAAGAATTAAATGTAGCATTGATGGGATAGTGCTGTAGATGAGCCAGCACTCCCAGGGGAGCAGACAGTCATTACACTCTAGTGGTCATTTTCATCTTCAAGCCATGGAGACTTTGGTTTCACAGAGGTGGGACCTCGGGAGGTCATCCAGTTCATTCCCTTGCCTCAGGGAAGCATGGACTATATATAAATCACCCTGAAAACTTGATCATTAACTGCTTCACTGTCCAATCACGTGGCATGTTTATTTAGGTGGTTTCTGCAAGCTATTAATGGATCCAAAGATAACCCTTCCCTTTTTGAGCACTAGTGCCTTAAGGCAGGAAGTGCCTTAGTTCTGGTACTGAGTGTGATGGCATTTGTGGTTTTCCATCCGAAAGTAATTTATTTCATCAAGTGACATTTAAAAAAAAAATCCATTATTCAAATGTGTTTTCTCAAGTTCTTTTTTGCTCTTTATGTTGAAAAGCAGGGCTTTGTTGGTTTGTATCAGAATCTTAACAAGGAAACAAAAAAGGAATAATTAATTACCCATCATATCTGCAAAATGAAACATAAAATTTCAGTACATGAGTCTAACTTGAGCCTTCACAGAGATCTGACACAAAAAGGCTTTCCCAGAGTGGACTCTTCAGGGCAGGAGTGGGGAACACTGTGCTTCTCACCATGTCTCCTACCCTTCTCCTCAGAGCTTTGCTCCATGAGCTCACAGCGTCTCCACCAGGAAATAAATTGTCTTTGTTCCTTTGCTCCTATGGAAGCCCTCTGGTGTCACCCCACGTCAACCTTCCCCTCCAGGATGTTTGTGCCCTTCTGCATTTTTGCAGGCACATATCATAGCTCCCATTAATCATCATCCATCCCATATTTCCATGTTTCATTTTGTAAGTAATTTCCCATAAATCAGACCTCATTTTGGACTGAAACAGAGATGAATAATAAATAATTAGGAACAGGGGCAGCTGGCTTTCTGGGAAGCTCCCCAACCCATAGTTCCCATATAACATAACTGCTTCATGGGGTGTTTTTTTCTGTGAAAAAAAAATCCAGTCTTTCTAGGAAATGCTCCCTGTTTGTTGTTGTTATGACTTGTATTTCATTGATGCACATGCATGTTTTCCCTGACAAGTGCAGTCATGCATCCAGAGATGTGACTTGAAGTGCATTCAAGTCAGGAGAATTGGATGGGCCCATATTTCTCTGTTCTTCTGACACTGTGTCCTGCTTCTCTGCCTTTCCCACAAAGTGTCTTCCCTCACGCCTTTTATTCCTGCAGCTCCCGTTTTACTCCACAAAAGGGATCTCTGTTTGGAGGGTGTCAAGAAGACAGAGCCAAACTCTTGGTTTGTTGCCCAGTAAGGGCACAAACTGAAGCACAGGGGGGTCCCTCTGAACACTGGGAAAGGCTTTTCTGTAGTGAGTGTAGTCAAACACTGGACCAGGTTTCCCAGAGGGGCCGTGTAGTCTCCACACCTGGAGTTATCCAAATCCCAGCTGGACAAGGTCTGGAACAACTTGCTCTGACTCTGCTTTGAGCAGAGGGATTGGACTGGGCAATCTCCAGACGTGCCTTCCAGCTTGAGCTGTTCCACGATTCCAATCTCCATTCCCTTCCCAAGGTGCCTCCCCAGCCAACTAAAAGGTAATGGGTTCTTTTTTCCCCTAAAAGCAATTTTTTTCTCTACCTGTCTCACCACCAGCAAATGTCATCATGCAGCTACTCCTGCCTATTTTCATCCCTCCTCCCTGCTTTCATCCCTACAAACCAACTTGTTCACACATAATGACACCTTCATTTTTGTCAGAACTGCTCTTCCATCTCTCCTGAGAGGAACCTCGTACACATCAGGGTGCTCTTCAAATGCTTATCATTGCAATTGATAATAGCAACAGCAGCAATAATAATAATGAATCTTCTCTAGTAAGCCTTTGCAATGAGCTTAATTGTCACCCACACCTGAGAGGGTTTTGACTCTTCAGCTGGCCAGATTAGGCTGTGATTTCATAAGCAGGATGATATGTGGCCATTCATGTCATTGTGGCATCTTCAGTTCCCACTCCACTCTCTTCTCTCATTTAATAACTGAGAGGTGACCATACTATTGCTTTTCCATTCTCTAAAAAATTGCTGAAAAGAACCTGCTTACCTCTGTGTCAGGGCTGAGATTTGTCCAGGTGATTCCTGAAACTATTTGATCAGCTGGGTCAGTGGGAACAGTTTTACCAATTCCCCTTGTCTCTTTTCATGAGCAGCAATTTTTTGTTTTCCTCTTACTCCTGTAATTTTAGGACTAACATCTTAGGACTTGGAATTATTTATTACATGGTATGATCTGGATATGAACTGATTGATCACACAAAGATAAAGCAGTGCTTTGGGGACTGTTGGCTTTTTTTAGCAATCCTCACAACAGTTGTTTCTTTTTGTAAAGGAAGCAAAACAAAGTCGTGGAAAAAGTCTCAGACACAGCAGAGTTTGAATCCCCAGTGGGGATAAAATGAGTGACATGGAAGTATCAGAAAGCTCTTTATATCAAGATCTTGGTGTAACTTCACTGCTGCTACTCAGGACTCTCTTTGAAAGTCCTGTTCTAGTCGTGCTTTGCCCGTAAATCTGCAGACTAAACCCTAAATGTCCAGTGTCATCTGGAGCATTTGCTACCAGAATATAAAGCTCTGCTGCTTGGTATCAACGTCATGCGTGGTTGGGTGGCCTAAGACATCTTCAGATTTGAAACTCTGTGAATTATCTGCAGGCTTTGGCTGTAAAATTACATTGACATTATGTTTAGTGGGGTCACTTGCACTGCTGTCCCAGGAGGGCTTGTCATCAGCCTGATGCAGTTGCTTTTGTTCTGCTCTCTGTTCATATTAAATAAACCCTTTGAAGCTGAATTTAACAAAAGTGTAGAGATGGCTCAAAACATACAGTTGTTATCTCCATTTTCTTTTCCAGGTCAGATTCCCAACTGGGGTGCATATTTCAGGCTCTGGCATGGGTTTACTATTGCAGAAAGCTTCTGGGGCTGGAGGAAATGGTAAAAGACTCATTATTCCCTGGATAAAGGAAGGGTCTTCCCTTCTGGAAAATGCTATAGTCCATGCTATCTCTTGATATCCACAACAGGAGCCAGAAAAATTGTCTGGTTTCACCTGTTGCCATCTCTAGAGCTGGTTGCATCTACAGCTTGTCAGATTCCATGAATTTCTCACATTTTTCTCCATTGGGACTCTCCTCAAGAGGCAGGCAGGGGTTTGCAGGAGAATCCTCTCCTTTCTGTGGCCTTTCAGTCCCAGCATATTCCCAGTGTCTGTTCCCTCTTGTCTTTCAGCCTGCAGTGTCCAACCACCCGCAACCAACTGCATTCATGCTCCACAGACTTCCTTCTTGCATCTGAAATTACTGAATACTCCCTTGTTTATCACAGAGGAGCCCAGGAATCCCCAGGCAGCTTTTCTCTATCCTCAGCTACCCTATCCCCTGACCACATACTCCAAACAATTTACAGCCTGACAAGGGGAAATTCACAGATTAGTTTGGTCTTCCCACTTAATCCAGAGTCCAGACTACAGAGACAGGATGTAACCCCCTTTCATCCCTTCACAGCTGACTTGGGAGCAGAAACTGCAGAGATCTCCTTTATCATCTACAGGCAATTCCAAATCTACCCCTTCCTACCACTGCTTGCTCCTCAGCTGCTCTGTTCCTGGAAGCTTCCAAGTATCATCTCCAAAAGTGTATCAGAGCCAGGGGCCATAAAAATGGTCTTTCTGCCTTCAGATTCTTCTTTCCACCTGTCAGGAAAGCCCTGTCAACGTGAGAATAGAAGACCAAAAGTACTTTTGCCTCCTCTGCCCGGGCACAGTAGAGCAAGCCAGATTCTTGACTGGAAATTCCGAAGCTGTCTCCTTCGCGCAGGCTAGAGCGTAGAACTGCTGGGGTTTAACAAAAACGAAACAAAACAAATTAAAAAAAAGGAACACTCGCAATAAAAACCGTCGCCCCGGGACCAGGGGAGCTCAAAGTCTCGAGCAACACCTGGAATGCCAAACCCCCGCAGCTTTTGGGGTTCCAGAGCGAGCCCACCCCGCGTGGGTGCCGAGCCTGCCCCGAGCGGGCGGTGCCCTCGGATTGTGGGGTTCAGTGTCAGTACCTGAGCGGGAGATGAGCTCAGCTCGGCTGGGCTCTGGGGCAGCAAAGCCGGCGGAGGGACCGGCACCGTTCCCCGGGGCTGCCCTGTCCCGCTGGCCGCTCCTCTGCTGCCTCCCCGCGGCACCGGCACAGCACGGGGAAATCTACAGGGAGGGGATCGAAAAGACCCTCTAGTGCAACCCCCCTGCCGCGGGCAGAGACACCTTCCACTTGCCCAGGTTGCTCCGAGCCCCGTCCATCCTGGCCTTGGACACTGCCAGGGATGGGGCAGCCACAGCTTCTCTGGGCAGTGCTTTCTCTTGCAGTCCCTTTAGTTCTGGAAGGGTCTCCCTGGAGCTTTTGGGATATTGCAGTGTCTGTGTAGAGCGTTTTCCACCGGGGTGGATGCTCCAGCAGAGCCAGCCTTGTCTGTTTGCAGCACATGCTTAGTTTGCTGTTGAGCTAAGGCACGAGTTGCACGTCTCTTGAGTAGGCAGCTGAAATCTCTGGGCAGATAATGGTGATTTTGGAGTTATATTTTCCCATCTTTATCTGAGCACAATACAGGCTTCCTTGAAGATGAATGGAAGGGAAAACAGGGAAACAAAACTGTGAACCTTCGCTTTCAGCAGATTGCCTTTCAAGTTAGTGGTACATTTCAGACAGGTCTCTGTCCCAAATGGTGATCTTTTTGAACCAGTCATTGGCACAGTAAGATCTGCCTCTCTTCAACTGTTTAGTTGTGATCTCTTAGCCTGCTTGATCCTATCCATATGATTTAAAAGTGGAGGCATTTTTGTGAGGATTTGGCTACATGTTGTCTACTCATCCACCAACTAGTCTGCGCCAGAATTATTGAACTGTTTCCTTACAGATCAGTTAGTCCATCCATACAAAAGAAAAAGAAAGGGAAGAAAAACTGAGAAAAAGCACATGGGACTTATGAATGTGCATCTATATCAATTATTAAGGAATGTCAGATCTTTTCTTGAAAGTGTTCACTGAAAGTAAGCAGAAGTAACAGTCTCTATTTTGACTGTAAATACTTTACAGCAGGTGATTTTCAAATCGTTTTACCAGCATGAAGAACAGTGCAGTCCTGATCCATTTAACTTCAGCCTTTAAGTAGCAGCAATTCCACCTCCCCTCTGTGCTTCCCTCTGGGCACATTCAGAAACAACTGGGGATAAAAATATCTTTGTGGAGCTGTTGCTTTTCTGACATCCTCACCGTTCCTCTTGGCACGTTTCAGCTCCTCACCAAAGACGTGAAGCAGCGGCTGGGATGTCAAGGGGAAGGGGCAGCAGAAGTGAAGAGGCACCCCTTCTTCAAGAGCATGAATTTCAAGCGGTTGGAAGCAGGAATGCTGGATCCTCCCTTTGTCCCTGATGTGAGTACGATGGGAAGAACCCCCCAGTGGCCTCTTTCTGGAGATTTGTTTCTAAAATAACTTCTCTCTCTTGGGGCTGTTATCACTCTCTGCATGGGTAGCTACCCTAGGAAGGTGTGATGAGTGGTAGGGCTGGAGTGGGGATGCTGGGAGGAAGAAGAGAGCAGAGGGAGCTCTGTAGATGTGTGTGTGTGTGGGTGGGTGAGCCTTCACACAGGATGGGCACCCTGGCCTTCATTCATTCCCTCATTTTACCACAGCATTCCTGTGTGACACTGGAGGCACTGGAAACCTTTGTGTTCCCTTGTCCATGGTGGTAGTGGGAGAGTCACTGTGCTCAGGACCAGCTGGTGCTTGGAACCATCAGCAGTGAAAGCCACGTGTATGCGTGCAGATTTACAGATACACAGGCTGAGTGAAACCAGAACTGCAGAGTCCAAAGCTCTGTGGAACTGGGGAACGGACTTGGTCATCATAAAATCTGTCGGGTGTCACCTCAAGCAGAGAAGGTGACTTGGACCCAAGAGAGTATTTTGAACCTTTTAGTGTTCGTGGGACATGGAACCCAACACTGAGTCCTTACTCAGGTTTGCACACCAGACTCGCACATAACTCAGTCTTTGTTGTATTGGCAACAACAAAACTTTTTCCACCCTTTTGTGGTGTCAGTTTCTACCCCAGTGCACAGAGTTATCTGATGATTTTCCTCCTGCAGGGCTCTCTTTCTGGCTAGACCTTCTATCCTTAAGAGTTCCCATATGGTTCTAAGTAAACACTGCCATTTTAATGTATTAAGGAAAGTAACATCTTGGCAGGTCTCATTCACGTCGCTACAAACTCAACCAAACCAAAGTGGTTTGAATGCTACAAAAGTTTACTTTAGCTGCTCTGGTTTTGCTTTACGTTTTACTATGTGGCCTAGTTATTCCTGCCAATTAGCCCATGGTGTTATGACCTGCTTTGGTGGGAAGAAACAAGAGACAAGCTACTATTTCTTTCTGATGTAGAAAATGGGAAAATTCTGGGCTCAAATTTGGGATCTGCCAGAGTGTGTTTAAGCCTTAGCTGTGGCACGAAAGGCCTAGAAGGCACCTCTTAGAGACGTGTTTGCTAAAGCAAAGGCACATAAGTTTTTATGGCTATTTATTGGGAACTCAAGAGCTGCCCCTAATTTAATTTGTGTGGCAATTCATCCACTGGTTTCCCAGTCTTTACTGAAGTCAGCTGAATCACCTGAAGCTATATAGCCAATGGCAGAGGTTGGAATCCAGCCCATGTCCCTCCGTCCTCTTCTGGATTACTCTGCCTCTGTCATCCCAGAAAACTGAGTAGTTCAAAAAGGCAAAGCCATTTGACTATTTCTTTGAACAAATGCAGACAAGTTAAAGGACTTAATAGAGGTGCTTCTGGACAGCTTCCAGCAGCAGAGCTATTAATAAAAACAATGGAAAAATGCCAAACCTCCTCTGTTTTCTTTAGCAATTAGTGTACATTCCTTTAAATTTTTAAGCTGCAAACCCCACAGCTATCTGACCAGGAGGGCACTTCTATTTGAGGCCTCTTTTCAGAGCTGTCTCATGAACATTCTGGTTTTCTGTTGTTTCCTCTCTAAAAGAAAAGGCTACTGAAGGACTTGATTTTTGTTTTCTTGCTTTCTCTGTTCTTTTCCTCTCACCTCTTAACCAGATGGTACATGGATGACTGAAACCTGCTTTGACTGATGCTTTAAGGGCTTTGAACTAGGAAGCTTAAACGTGCTTGAAGCGAAGTCAGCCTTTGATGATAAACAGGCAGGCAGAGCGAGTCTAGAGAAGGAGGATGCAGACACACACTTGTTGTTAGACATTCTCACTTGACTGAACCTGTGAATGAGAGCACATGATCCGACTCAGAAATACTTTTTTCTCCTGTTGTTTCTGTTGTCTTTGGTGCTGACAGCCCAGAGCAGTGTACTGCAAGGATGTGCTAGACATCGAGCAATTCTCCACGGTGAAGGGAGTCAACCTGGACCAAACAGATGATGATTTCTACTCCAAGTTTTCCACAGGATCAGTGTCTATCCCATGGCAGAATGAGGTAAGGACGTGTCATAGTAAAATTACTCCGATAAAAGCCCAAATGCAGATGGTTTGAGAGGAGCTGTGTGTCTGCAGTAATATATAGCTACTGGAGAACGTGCCAGACTCTAATGCTTTCATGAGTAACAAATGGCCCCTTTCAAGTCCTGTAATGTAGCACAGATGGCAGGCTCAGGTGACTGTATCTGTTGGCTCTGTGCATTTGTGTAAATTGGCCAGGGTCCTACTGTACTTCCTTCTCCTGGATTTCTGCAGAGGTGTTTCCACAGCAGCTCTCAGGAGCTTCTCTGGGATAGCTGGAAGTCCTGGTAGAAGGCTCCTCCAGTGGTGACCCTGATGTCACCCATTGTGTCGTACCTGCAGTGGGTCCAGCTGCTGCAGCAGTTGACTCTGGACCTTGAACCGCTCTGGGGTTTCCAGACTCTGAGTCTTTCTTTCTGTTTGGTATCAAAACACAGCCAACAGCAGATTTCATAACCCAGCTGTGTATCAAACAGCAGATCCACGTGGGCAGAGGGGTGCTAAGAACTGGGGTTCTGTAAGTGTGCCTGTCTTTTACCCAATATTCTCCACAACCCTAAAGAAGAGAACAGCAAGTTTCATGGGGCAGTTTTTGATGTGCAAAGGTGCAGAGCAGACTCAGCCTCTCCTTTTCACGCATCCTCTTTGCCTTCCAAAGGCACCAGCAGGAGCCAACTGTTAACTCTCCCAGCATATTGCTGGCTTTGAACAGCCCAGCACTGCTGGAATTTGTTTAATGCAGACGTCTCATTTGTTTCTTTTTTTCCCTAGATGATAGAAACAGAGTGCTTCAAGGAGCTGAATGTCTTTGGACCAAATGGTACTATTTCACCAGACCTAAACAAAAGCTACCCCCCAGAGCCACCCAAGAAAGGATTGCTACAGAGAATATTTAAGCGACAGGTGAGATCTTTTAGGACTAAGAGAGGGGAACTCCCACAGATGCCCAGTGTCACAGCCATGTTCTGGTGGTATTTTTGTTAGGAGGAAGGCAGAGTGTCTTAGAGAGGGCTGGCTGTCACAGTTACCTGGTAATTTCCTGCCTAACACTGCATGTCCCAGGTTTGCCATTTACCTCTTGTGATTTTTTTAATTTTTTTTTTACTGCCAGAAGTTCCAGTGTTCTTCATGAGTTCTGTTTCCAGCAGCTGGAAACCTCTTACCCAACCTATTTTTCAGTGGTATGCTGACATGCCTTTGGAAGTGATTCCCTAGTTTCAGGAAGTTCCTTGTGAAAATCCTTGATTTATGTGTTTAAAAAAAAAAAGAAGAAAGAAAATGCAAATTTTGAGGGAGGTAGCCATGGCAGGAAACCAAGACAGTAAAGAAGAGAGCAGACCAGATCATACAGGATGTACAGGTTTCATGAGGCCCCGTGGCATCACTTGCAAATCTCAAGAACATTCTTGGACTGCTCTGTTTCTGTGGAGTTAAAGCCATGGCTGAGCACTGGCAGGTGTCCTCTGTATTAGTCAGGTTTAGCAGGTACTGACATTTTGCAGTGAATTGATTTGACTCCTGGAGCTCGAGTGAGTCTTCTTTGCTTCATTCCTCGAGAACTGCCATGGTCCTGCTCACCTAGAGGGACTACAGGTAAGAACGCAAAGAATATTTTGCACCCAAAGATCTTCAAACGGAAACATCTTGCAGTCCAGTCAGTGCCTTATCACTATAAAATGAACAGTGTTGGACTTAAAAAAAAGAGCATGGCATATTTTGGAAATGTAACCATCATTGTCTTCCTCTTTCTGCAGCATCAGAACAATTCAAAGAGCTCTCCAAATTCAAAGGCCAGTTTAAATCACCACATAAATTCGAATCACGTGAGTTCAAACTCCACTGGGAGCAGCTAGTTCCAGCTCAGTTTTACCAAACAACACGTTGCATCCTTCCACTATAATCCCTGGAGCTTCTGTGGATGAGAGAGCCTCCACCTTTGAGTGAAAACAAACAGGATCTCCCGAAGTGGAGATCTTCTATCCATTCCTTCCAGTGGAGCCTCGCATTTTAAGAAGAATTTTCCACTCAGGTCTGTTTTTGGAGGTGGCACTCAAGACTGTGTGAATCAAATTTGTCTATTTAGAACATTGCAATAGAAATTCAATGAACATGACTACTTGCACGTATTTAAATAGCATCATACTAGAACTGAATTTTGTCTTTATTATTTTTAAAGAAAAGTTTTGTAAATTTCTCTATTGTCTCAGTTTACATTTTGTACATTTGTATTTAAATGAAAGTCAGACTTTGGAGGTGTATATTTTCCAAGCAGCAGCTGTAAAGCCATGTGTTTTAAGACATTTTTTTAAAAGAAACAAAATGTGACTCAAGACTTCCAGAGCCTCAAATGAGAAATCATTCTTTTTAGCAATTCTAGGAAATTCTTCATAAATCACTTTATCAGACTGGGGTTTAATGACACGCATTTTTATGGAGCAATTTATTCTTAATTATTTTACATCTGTATATTTGGTTTACAGCAACACTGCATACATTTCTCCTCTTCATTAATTTGTAATGTCTCGCATTAAATGCTGAAAGGCAAGATTTTGGTGCATTCAAGAATGCTGCTTGCTGTGCTGAAGGTTTGTGGTGTCACGGGACCAGCCCAGCTGAGATTTGCACTTCCTTGTGTTGTCATTTCATCAAGTGCTTTTTAGTCAGAAAAGGAGCCCTGTTTGAAGCTCTTCTCCTTCACTAGTTTTGGTGCTGTCTCCAATGGCAGGTGGAACAAAGCTGAGGGAGAGGTGGCCAGGAAAGCAAACGTTCATTTGTTTTTCAAGGACTTCAAACCTGCACCTGCTGAAATGAGAGCAAAACTCCAAGCAGTCAAATTCCAAGGCTTTTCCACAGTTGCTCGTATCAAACAGATAGAGAGAGAGGAGTTCAGCACTCTGGTTTGTGACAGCTCTCTAGAACCTCAGCTGGATAAAATGTCAGTTATGAAATGGCACCTCCCACCGTCGGTTCCATCATCCTTTGTCCAGGGTCCTTCAACCATCGACAAAAACATCGTCCCCACTGGTGTAAACAGGGCCAGTCAGGGTCAGCAGCAGCACCTCAGGCATCAGAACAGGGACAGGACTTGGGTAAAGCAGCTGACAAAGAAAAGTCAAGAAGGGGAGGTGAGGCTTGAGCCACTGTCCCATGCCAGGTGATGGCACTGCAGGTCTTGCAGAAGGTGCAAGATTTTTAGACAGGTAGTAATAGATGAGAATTGTAAGGAATTTTATCTCTCTGAATCAGCTGTAAATCAAATCTGCAATGGTTTCAGCTTCCTGATAGGAGGGGAATTAAATATTGTAGAGGTGAAAGCCGCTATGCACAGATTGGGCTGATACTTCTAGGTCTGTTCTCATGGCCTGACTTGAAGCTACCTGGAATCTGCTCAGACACCTGATCACGCTCTGGATGAAGACTTTCTTGCTTTGGGAGGTTTTCACAGGCCTTCTTCAGTGGCATTTGGGATCTCACGTGATTCCCATCATCTCCTACATGCCACCAGTCTGGCATAGGAAGACTGAAATTTTCTTTCTTTGCCATCTCCCACTTGGGAAATAAAAATCTGATAACCACAACCCCCCTTACTGAAAGCTGGTGAACAAATTGCAAATACAGGTTGGAGCTGGCCTTGTACCTCTTAGATGCCACCAGCCTTAACTAGTGGTGGGTGACTTCTTAGTGACAACAGTGAGTGACAGCGTTTGTGCCCTGTGCTGCTCTCCTTCCTCACTCAGCAGCTCTGGGGCTCTACCAGTGGAGACACAGGGGCAGTGCAAAGTCCTGGAAGGATGAGAACTGCATTCACTGACTCCTGACGCTTGGAGGACACTTTGGTAGGGTTAGATATCCTGAATCCTGGAGATGTGCACCCGAAGGAAGGCCTGGGATGGACTCCCTCTGGATTCCAGCTCCTTGGGAGCAGTGAGTGAGTAAAGGGAGAGACACAAAACAAGGCAATTGAGGGAGATTTCACGCTGCACCCCTGAATTTGTCTGTCCTGAATTACAAAATATAAACAGTATTACAATGCTGAGGCAGCAGAACTGTCGTGATTTTTCAGAGCCCAGCAATGAAAGACTTAATATTGTACATCTTTAGTGCTGATGAGCAGCCCTAGGGATCTGGAATCTTCCTGCCAGGGTTTTCCTACAGCAAAACCTGCAGGATTTCTTTTTATTGCTTTTTTTTTTTTTTTTTTAAATTATTCAGCTCACCTTGCACTCAAGACTGGAGTAGGACCACAGTCCTCTCACTTCCACTGCATGACCAGGTGCAATTCGGGTTGATTGATTTTCTCTGTCTCCTTTTCAATTACAATACAAATTCTTTCCCCAAGAAAATGCATATGTTCGGATCTGGTTGCTTGTTTTAAATAGTCAGATGAGCAAACTTAGCTCTTTTTAAGAATCAGAAGTCGTGCAATCTGATCCTGACTTGTGCAAGCATGTTTTTTATTTTTAAATCTTTACTGAGTAGTCAGATGAACACCAATTAGTTTACAGGCTTTTATGAGTCAGGTGTTTGCTATCCATTTTCTACAGTGTCTCAAGGTTCACTTGACTCCTGTAGCATTTCTTCCCCACTCTCTGTTAGATGGGAGCCTTTTTTTAAACCAAGGGATAATGAAGGAAAAAATAACAAACTCTTGTGTGTGCACTCTTGACCTGGATTACCTAAAAAGAGATTTTTTTCACAAGCATGGCCATGACTCAGATGTTGTTTCTGAACAAAAACCTGCTTGTGAAGCTGGGAAAGGTGTGAAGATAATCAAGGCAAACAGGTACTGGAGATCCAGCTGAGCGTTAGGAAACTGCAGAATTCAATATCCCAGCGCTCATCTGGCCCTACTGATTAGAGACTCCTGGGAACTGGCAGTTCAGAGACACAACAGCTCTCTGCAAAAACAGTTTGATACCCAGAAACTGTGGCTGAGAGTGCCATCAGCAGTGGGAATCAAACTTGGCTGACCCAGCAAAGCACCTGATTTGAAAACATTGATTCTTGAGGTCATTCACCTTTTGAATTCTTCATTGAATTCTTTGCTTCAGCTGTCAAAGCCTCACATTTCAAGTCCAAAGTGCTGCAGGTTCTTCCTTGGTTCATCACATGCTGGTCACAGTGTCTGCAGTCACCTGGGACACAGGGCCATGTTACACATCAAGCCTGGCCTCAGAGGCAGGGTTGTCTCTCTGAGGGTCAGGGGGAACAGTTTGATGGGGCAGGTGAGAATCCCCTCAGCCTGCAGGAACAGCCATCACACAGGTCCCTGTTCCCAGCCTCGGTCAGGAGTTCCCTGCACATCTGGAAGAGCAATAAATGCACACCTTTACAGCACAGCTGCTGCTTCTCACCAATCTCCATGGAACAGGGGCTGCAGGAACTGGCTTTGCTGTGGACAAGATATGTGTGTTTTAACCTCTCTCCACTGTTAGTTGTGATCATTCTTTTTGTTCAGTTCATGTTTGTAATACTCAGTGTAGAGGAGAACATTCAGCAGGCATTTCCCTGGCAGTCTTTGGAAAGACTGGATTTTTCTTTGGAGGAACACCTTTGGGTTAGTCTGGCCCTTGGCACACAGTCCATCTTCCTCCCTGTGTGTGGCACGAAGCACAAAGTGCCCTGCAGGAGCTTTACAAGGCTCTCCTGCCCAAGGATGGTCCCAGTCTGGGTCAGGCTGTGGGGAGCTGCACTTGGCAGTGAGGTTTGGGAGAATCTGAGTTGTCTGTCTCAGGCCTTTCACAAACATACCCTGCAACTGAAAATGCTACTAATTATTTAGAGTAAAAATAGTGACTAACACCCTCATGCTAAAGCTGAGAGAAAGTCTGCATAGGTTTAAAACAATTCTCTTTTGTGTGCTGGGCAGGACACGGTGTCTTTTACACTAAATAATATTACAGTGCTGGCTGGTAATAATTGTCTGTCCTTAACTGGAAAATAAAAAAAAAAAAAAAAAAAAAAAGAAAAGGACAGAGAGAGAAAGAAATAATTGGTTCAGAGAATTTTTAAGTTATTTCCTTTAAGGAAAATAAAAAATTTCATCCAAGAAGGTGAAAGCCAACAATATGCTGCAGTATTATACACTCACCTCCCCCAAACATCTCTGTGATAACAAGCTGCTGCAGTTGGATCAGCTAAGCTGCTGTCCTGACCAATGGGCTTTAGGAAAGAAACAATTTTAAACAGATTGCTACCTATTCACTGTAATGAATATTACTGCTGGCACATATGTCTTCTCCTTGGTTTATGTACTGGAGCCAGGGGTGATGGTTGGTATTCCTACTCTGCCCATGTTTTTCTTCACTGCCCTGAGCAAACCTCTGTGCAGTTTTGTTTTCCATTTCTCAAGCATGGAGGGATGCTCTCTGTCTGTCAATTGAAAGCACTTTGGAGTCTGTGCATAAACCAGATCAATATCAACTCTTTGTATTATTATTTAAGTGAAATAGGCTCAGTAGAGCTGCTCTTATTTACACGACAAGGGAGAAGACTCTTCTAAATTAGGGCTCTTTTTATCATTGGTTTGTCTCAGTTCCTTGGAGACACTGAGACAGAAAGCACTGCACTTCTGTAAGACATCAACAACGAGGTGACAGCGCCAATGTTAAAGTATTCATTTCTTACTTAAAAGCTGGCCAGTAATTATGGCATTCCCATGAGCAATTCCTCTCTTTTTTTTAGATAGTAGTTATGAGGAAATAACACTCATTGGTTCAGCTTTTTTGGCCAAGCCTGCAGAGGATTGCCTACATTATTGAAGTCCCAAAGATGCACCTGTGGCAAACCCTGGGTCAGTTCCCTGCCCACTGTGGAAACAAAAGGGGCAAACACGCCTGGGATCCGTGGGCTCCGGAGGGGAGCTCCAGGTTTTTCTGGAGAAGCTGTAGAGAAGATTCACTGCCAGAGAGGGCACACCTGGGGTGGTGGCTGGCTGGGAAGTGCTCTCCTTTCTCATCACCCCGCACGCAGCTGTCAGACCCGCTGATGGGCAAGCTCAAACGAGTCGTTCCACGTGGATTGGATGCGGTCTCCCTTTTAATTGCGTTTCTTTTAAACACTGGACACTCTTCTAAAAGACTGAACATTTTAGCCTTTCGGAGGTGAAAGCTGTAAAAACTTTATTTTGTGTTTTCTGAGCAATGTAGATAGACCTAAAGATTTCATGAACTATCATGTGGTTTGCCCATATCTGACTAATAATTAAATTGTAAAATTGCAGTTTCATATTAGGGTTAGTCTTTTCACCTGCTTCAAAAATTAAAAATCATATTTGGTATATAAACACACACAGAATATCCTTCTGATTCAATTTCAAGAGCATATCCAGGATTAAATGTTTTTAAGCACTTCTAATGCTGTAGTCTATAAGAGGAGCAGACAATTCTAAAGCAATGTTAAAAGTTGTCTTTCATAACTGAGTCAACAGATCATTTTTGTAATAAATTAAAGCAAGTGTTCTCAATTAGAAGAGCTAGTGGCTGTTGGTATTGTACAAAAAAATCATTCTAATATCCAAAAGGGTTGGGGTGGGGAGGGTCTGTTTGGTTTTGTTTCTCTTTCCAGGGAGATCTTTAACATTGTTTGATGAAGCTAGTTTCATTTTGAGGTTGTTACTGAAGATAAAGGCTTCTGTGTTCTATGGCTGCTTGGATTCTTCGTACATAATGTCCTAGTAATGTCACAGTGCTGCTGTATCTAGATCAAACCACTGTTTTGATTGGGGGTTTGGGCTTTGGGGTTTTTTTTTGTTTGGTTGTTTTTTTAATAAATTCCTTAATTTAAATACATGAAAATGATACATTGTGCTTTAATGAGGCGTGTAATCAAACAGAGGCTCCTGAAATCCTTGGGATCCTGAAGATGGTTACTGGGAGAGTGGGATGAAGTCCATACCTCTGTGGCTTCACATGTTTTGTATTTTCTGTCCCATCACGTCTTCAGGAAGATTGAGGGAACCAAAAGCCAAGCTGAGGTTGGATCTCACTTTGTGAAGGTTCAGATTCCCATTTGAAAGCAGGTTTTGTTTCCCCAGGACCTCCTTCCTCTGCCTTCCATCCTCACCTCCCCAGCCTCCCTCTGCACTGTCGGCCAACACAACCCTTTACAGCCCTGAAGGTGTTCAAGGAGAGGATGACGAGACTCACCAGCAGGGACACAGCCATGAAATATGTTTTAAAGTAAGGTGAGCACTGATTTATGAGGCCCTACAGAGGACTTTGCCTGAGCTCCAGTCTGGCAGAGAGAATATGCTTGCAGAAGGGAAACAACAGCCATCCGAGTGTGCTGCTCAGTATTGCACACAGAAAAACATCTGAAGCAGAGATAGAGAGTGGCTGCAAAATCTCCAGGAGGAAAGTGATGCACTGCTCTTTTTGTTAAGAGGAGAAGGAGGAACTTTTCGAAGAGACATAAAGAATATTTTTATGAGCCTGCTAATGGCAAGCAGTGTCTGCATCAAGTTTCTTGAAAGAACATTTTGAAAACAGATTGTCTGCATGAAAGAAGCAGCTACGTCCAACAGCTAAACACTCAACAGTGAAACCCAAGGTAATAGACTGTATAAATTCAGGTCATGCATACTCTCACTTTCCAAGCAAAGCCAAGCCATTTTTCACAAGATTTTAACAATCTGAGAGGAGAGGAGATGAAATTTTATTTCTTCTCTTAACAGTTCTTGGCGGGTTTTTTTCTCTCTGTAACTTCGTGTCTTTTCCGTACAGCAACATCCAGATATGCTCCCTCTTAGGAGATGTAATCTTCCTTGGGCTTTTCCACTACCTCTGACATGAGATGGGCAACTCCTCAGAGGGAAGCCATGACACAGCTTTGAAGGAAATCCAATTTTAAAAGCATCTCAACTTCTTTTTTAATTCCCTAGAGTGCTTTACTGATGAAAAATGCCATAAATGGGCCTGACTGTGCAATTTAAGGTCTATGGGGTTCTTCTGAGTGAGTAAACAGTACAAGTTTCTGCCAAGTCAACATTTAATTTTTTTGGGATTTTGCAATTCTATTCAGTAAAAGTAAAAAATAAAATTAAAATAGGGCCTGTTAAAAGCTGGTGCTCTGACTTGTCCTGAGTGGAGAAGAGTAACTGCCCAGAGGCTGAGCAGCTTGAATAACCCATTTACAGATGCTTGGGTAAATCACAGAATCATGGACTCATTAAGGCTGGAAAAGACTTCCAAAATCATCAAGTCCAGCCTTTGACCAAACACCACCATGTCCACTAAACCAGAGCACTGAGTGCCACGTCCAGGGATGGTGACTCCACCACCGCCCTGGGCAGCCTGATCCAATGCCTGGCCACTCTTTCAGTGAAGAAAATACCTGGTTTTATGCATTTTATTTTAATTACAGTCTATCACTGCTAATTTCTTAATTCAAGAAAGTTTTCTCCTTCGTTGTTGGCGAATGTGAGTGGCACCCTGAGAGTGCAAATCTCCACGTGCCTCTGTCAGCTTATATGGCAGAGAGACTCAAGATGCTGCAGACCTGCTAATCTGGGGTCACTGCAGTGTGATAACCATTAAAATATCAGGAGCAGGAAGGCAGGCAGTTTGCCTTCTTTTCAAAAAGCTTGTAGGTTGGAAACGCTTCACAAAACTAAACTTCAAAAGCACACATTCAGGGGTGCTAAGCCTCGAGTTTAAGAAATGGAAGAATTAAGGTTGCCTGTGTTCCATTAATATTGTTCCCTTCCCCTTATGCACTGTTATTATTATGCCCTCTCATAATTCTGGGTTATTACTGTGCATTCACTCCTAGAACACAAACCAACCTCTGGCAAACTTACAATGAGAACCAGATGCACCCCCTCCGTGGCACCCCCTCACACGTTATGGCTTTCAGACTTTTTCATTTCAATCTAAAAAAGAAAAATATTTTCCTGCAGGGGAAAAATCTCACCTAATTGGCTGCTCCCTCCATTTGCAGCACTGAGGCAAGTGGGAATTCTGAAAAATTCATTTGGCCTCAGTACGTGGGGCTTTCTCCCACACACAAAGGGCTGAGAGCTCTCAGTATCCCACCTGGGTTCCCTTAGGTCATCTTGATCCCAGGACTGGGGAAGGGATGTGGAATGACTCTTACATCTTTCACTTGCATTTTGGTGGCAAAACTCCTGGCTGTTTCCTGAGGAACTGGCAGGAGGGGTGTGAGAGGTTCCTTAATCTGCCCTCTCCTTTCTGCAGGTATTCATCCCCACACCCTGAAAGACAGAAACATATGCCCCAAAGAGCTGAGGAGGCAGTGCAGAAGAAATATTTCTGCAAATAGGTATTGGGAAGAAGGAAAACATGACCTGCAGAAGGGACAGCCTGGGGCAAGTTTCACAAGGATTGAAGAAATGGGAGGAACGAGGAGGGAAAAGTGATGGAGAGAAGTCAGCACTGGAAGGGATTAAGTCTAGCCAGGGGCATGGCTTAATTGCTAATTCACAATAAAACAAGTCTGAAAGCAAAGAAAGAAGACATCAATCCAAACCAACACTGTAATGAATTTATTGCCAATGATACCACAGGCAGCAGTAGATCTTTCTGGAAGCTTAAAATCATTGCCCCACTTTGGGTCTGGTATTCAGTCATTGTGCTGTGGAATTAAACACTGACATTTCCCATAATGAAAAGATTCAGCTGCAGCAGACATTGTGTACTTACATGACCACAATAAATACTAATCCAGTAAACAACTCAAAGTTCAGATTACATTAGGAATTTGCTATGTTGTTCTCATATTTACAGTAGGAAAGCAGGAAGGAGCCTTCTTTCATACTTAATTCCATCATTCTAACTCTAATCTAGCATTTTTTTTCCTCTTTGTCCTTGTGGTGGTTTTTAACTCAAAGGTTTTTGAGTCTGCAAATGAAACCATAATAGCTGATCATATTTAAAAGCAAATCTTCTGTCTGTGTTTGCTTCTTCACGTGTCGAGCTCTTACAGTGATCCACCTGGAGATTACAACGAGTGAAAACCAATAATTTCTCATCAACTATTTGCATCTTGTCATAAATAAGTCATAGCAAGACCATAAATTAGTTGGGTCACAGTGATAAAACCAAGAGGCTTAAAACAAGCAAAGTAACTGGGCAGAACACAACATTCTTTCTTCCCATTAACTAACACAAACTCCACAAGAGGAAACAAGCTACTCCTCTGACATTTATCACCTTTTTTAAGGCCATCTAAGCATTTCACTAATACATGCATGCATTTAGAGCACTGCCATGAGTCACACACCTATGGGCTGGTTATGCTGATTCTTTGCAGAAAATGGTCGAAAACAAATCTATGCGATGTTCATCAAGAACACAAAGCAAGAGGGTATTTCCTCCCCCAGACAAGCACCTTTCTGTGTCAGGGGGCTGACATATCTGAACTGAACTGATGGTGCTGAACAGGAACAGTTTTTGCAGGGCTGCAGCTGTCATTTCCTTTGCACAAACGCCTCCAGGGGGGCAGTGATGTGCATCGTCAGAACGTCCAGGCAGTCGCTCTTGTAGAGCTTCAGGACGTTCTGGATTTTGTCCTGGCAGTAACACTCGCTCCCTTTGGGGCTGTCCTGGTGTGCTGGCACGCAGGGCTCGTCCTGCCCGTGCCCCGGCCCCACCGCAGCGCTGCAGCTGCTCCTGCGCTGGGTCTGCTCTGCAAACACTCCTGTTCTCCTCTTAGACCACTTGCTCCCGTAGTTCCCCAGCTCCATCAGCCTCTCGTTGAAGTACTCCTGCAGGGGTTTGTCCTGGAAGCCGGTGCTGGTGGTCAGGGGGCCTTCCAAGGAGCCCCTCCGGCAGCTCCCCGAGCAATGGACGAGCAAAGGTCTCCTTGAAAAGTCCTTCGGTTGGGATGAGGAGTCCTTTCCTCTTCCCAAATCCTGGAAAAGTTGGTTGAAGGCTGGAATTCCCACGTAACTTCTTGATAGCTATTTTAAATAGGAAGGTGGAGGAGAGAAAAAAGCAGGATTGGGGGCAGAGGAGAGAAAGAAATCTGAATTAAAATACGCTGGCTTAAGCAGAAGGAGGGTCTAGGGTGTGTGATTGCATACAGTAAAGAGCTGTTAATGACCATTTGAGGTTCTTAATCCAAATTCCCTGAAGACCAAGCAGTTTGGTACCAATCCCTCTCTGGAACAGAAGTCCATTGGGCTGAGCTTAATTAATGCTGAGCTTAATGAATGCTGAGCATTTTTACCTCCCACCAACTCTACTACCACAATTTTCTGCAGCCTCTGTGAAAATCTAACTTTCTGAAAGGATCTCTCACCTACCTGTATCAACAGAATTTTAGGTTTATCCTTTTAAAATCCCACTAGCCTGTAGCTGCTCTTTCCTAAGGCAAAAACCAGATCCCACTTCCAAGAGATTTTTTTTCCCCCCTTTCCTTAATCCCAGGTAAATCTGTGCTGAACTGCAGTGTATTTTTGCAAGAATTGCAATTTTCACCTACAATGTATTTCTACATCTTAAAACTATGAACTTTATTATTCTGACACCACAGCACAGCATAGATGGGCATAACTTTTTCTCCTCCTTTCCCATTGCAGGCCAAATTCACCCTTGAGTTACTCGAATAGCCAAAGCAAGCTCTGATCCAGCCCCCACTGGGTGTCTTTGGGTTGATTTGGGGGGACATCCATGCTGTGAGTGCTTTTACAGACTGCCAGAAATTCCCCATGTAAAAGGTGTTGACTTTCCACGTCCACAGTTTCCTGTCCTCTGGGTTTTCCAAGTCACTGCTCTGCCATTTCCACCTTTCTCACAGGTATTCCAAGACACCCTGGCCTGTCTCAAGCTACCAGGAGCAACAGCTGGTTTCTGTACAGCAAGTTGGAGCAGAGCATGGCTTTCTCTCTGCAAACCTTAGCAGTTTGTCTGGAAGGAAGAACTGGTTTATATTATATTACTGTTTCTAATCACTAAAAAGTAAGACTACACTGCATGTGGATGACAGCCACAGCGGGGTTGTGGAACATTTCACAATCATTTATTATGCCTGACAATGCCTTTGGTATATAAAAAAAAAAGCCATCACTCATGCAGTTTTTGACAATCTCTAATTAAGGCTAGATGCTCTCTAAGGGTCCAGCCACAAATCTGGATTCAGAGCCCAGCAATGTCTCAGTAGGGCACTCCATCATCAGCCTTTGACATGTTGCCTACTAGTAATGAATGAAAAACATTGAGCTCAAATGAGAAATAGTGGGTTGGACATGCCATGTAAACTGAAAAGCAATCAAGTTTTTGATCTCTCACTCCTCCATCACACTTCATCCTGGAAGGGACCCAGCAAATCAAATGGCCCTGCCTAGAGTGGCTGTACTTTTGGAAGAAGTTAGGCAATTGGAGAACACTAAAACTTGATTAAAAAGTAGTCTTCCTAACTAAAACCTTTTTAAATGGTTTAAAAAATAGAATCAACCTAAAATAATAATCAGCTTCAAAATGTAGAAGAAAAAAAAACTCGTTGAAGTTGAGTTTTTCTCTACCCCACCACAGTGCAAACCTTATTATTGCATCAAACATCAGCTTTCCGGGCCAGAGGGGAATTATCCCTCCAACAGAAGAAGAGGTAGCAGTTATCACATATTGTAAAGAGAGGTCTTGCATACAAACCTTAACATCCTGGAAGCCTGGGTATTCTGGGATGATGGGCAAGGCACACTTGCTGGCAGTGTTCGACTGCCCTTTTTTCATCACCCCGTGAGAGCAACTGCAGCTCCTGGAGAGCTGGGACTGCCCCAGCTCGGGCGGGTTTTCGGTGACACGGAGTGGACTGCAGTGTTTTATGCAGCAAGTCCTCAGGCACAGCACCGAGGCAGGTCCCTCCATGTCAGCACGGCTCAGAGCAGTTCGGAAGTGAGGTGTGTTCCGGAAAAACTCTCTCTCCTGCTTTTCCTCTACTGCATCCTCTACTAGCGAGTCCCTGGGCAAGCTGCAGTGCTGAGTGGCAGCAGGCACAGCAGGCAGGACACAGCCCTGAGCAGTGCAGCTCTTGCTGAACCGGGTTCTTCAGGTCACAGGCAGGTGATGCTTCCTCTGAGGTCTGAAACCCCCAGCCATTAATGCTGCTTTTATCCTCTGAGAGCTCCTCGCGGAAAGTCGGTAAATCTTCAGCACGAACGCAAAGGGTTCAGGTGAGGGGGAATTACCAGGGATTACACGCTCTCATACCGTCATCCCAGACAGCCTGATGTGGCTGCTGACGCGGCAGCAATTAGAGAAGATCAACAACCTGCATGCTCAGTCGTCACTGAGCCTCTTTGGAGCCGGCAGATCACTGCCCTTCTGACTGGGGATCCCTGACACCAAAACATCCAGGGCTTCAGCTCAGCAAGGCAAAAGGGGATTTAAGACAACACAATGAAACGACAGGAAAGTCCTGCCCTGACAGTGTAGAAAGCTGCAATAAAATCTTCCTCCCTGTGCCTTGCTCGGTGTGGCTGGAGATGAGGTGCAGCCCTGGAGATCGGAGGAGATCCAAACTGCCTTGCTGTGCGTGGAGCTGTGTCAGGACAGGGATGTGCTGCCTCCAAACAGCCCAGCACCAGTGCAGGTTTGGCAAGAGACCGTGGTGACAGCAAGACTCCTTTCAGCCACAGCTGTGAAAATGTTCACAGCAAGAAGCAATAGCTGCCCTGAACAGCTCACAACTGACACATCACAGACCAGGGGCAGCCAGGGAAGCAGCTCCTCTGTTTGGATTTGGAGATACCTTAGTGGTGTCATATGCTAGAAACAGATAAACGTATGGAGTTGCAGCAGTTGGCACCCATGGACTTTGGCAGCACAGGGCTCTTTGTTGTCCCCACTGACTGGGGACATGTCCTGCCGTTTGGAGGGCAGCACCTCCATTCACGGCCCCACTGTGGCCAGTTTGCAGGCAGAGCTTTGGCACTGAGGGATGAGCTGCTGCTTCTCCATCACATACTGGGAAGTGATTACTGGGCTCACTGGGGCTTGTGGAAGGAATACAGAGAGGATTTGCAATCCCCTCAGCCTCCAGGGCTTCTGGCTTATTGAAGGTATTCATAAATGTTTGCCCACTCTGAACACATTCGTGCAAATATTTGTGGATGCCCTGGATGAGCTAGAGATCCTTATCAATCCAGGGTACCCAGAAACATTTGCATGGACTTATTCAGAGCATTGACTGTGAGCCAAAGAGCTTTGGATCTTATCCATGAGACCATCAGCTGGATTCAGGTTAGTGCTTTAGTCTCTGGCAGATGGCAGCTTGGCAGGCTCAGGGCAAAGCCCACAACAGCAACTCCCAGCTGGCTGCAGGTCAGGATGAGCAAAGAGCCCACGTAAACACTCACACCCAGGTCAGCTGTGAGCAAAGAGCCCACCTAAACACTCACACCCAGCTCAGGTGTGAGCACAGAGCCCACCTAAACACCTACATCCAGGTCAGGTGTGAGCACAGAGCCCACCTAAACACTCACACCCAGCTCAGGTGTGAGCAAAGAGCCCACCTAAACACTCACACCCAGCTCAGGTGTGAGCAAAGAGCCCACCTAAACACTCACACCCAGCCCTTCACTCTCCAGCTGCAAAGCTGCAACAGCCCCTTTTACCAGCTCTGGCTCTGGCATTATTTTATTTGAGGGTAAAATGATTCACAGGCGGAGAGCAAAGCTCGTGTTGAGAGTTGTCATTTTGGCTACACCCCAGCAGTGTCTCAGGGATCAGGATCTGTGTCCACAGCTCTCCATGAGCCACACACAGGTTCAAATATGAGGCTGATGGCAACAATTTGCACGGAGAGATGTCACGATGCTTACAAAGCAGTAGAACTGTGAGTCATCCCTGGTGCAGCCCTGATTATTTGCATTGCTGGTGTATACAAAATGGTACCTTCAGACATAAATACAGCGTGGCCTTGCTAGGGGTACCTAAGAAAAATCTAAAAAGCATTAAAAAGATTTCTCGGCACCAAATTTTCCAGTAAAACACTTTCCCCATCTTGTTTGGCAGGGAGAGAAAAAAAAAAAAAAAGTCTTAATTTTTTTACTACTCCTCTTCCAAAATCTTTCAGATACTCTCTGAGCAAAGCTGTCCTGGGGATGTGTTCCAGGCAAACCTGGACCAGAAAGTCTCTGTGGACAAGCAGGAGGTGGGACTTGTCTGTGAGTCTTCAGGCCAAGTCACAGCCTCCAGGTCTAGATGGCTTCAGGCACACAGAGACAGGTAATGTGCAACCTGAGAGGTGGCAGAACATGCCTTACCCTGCAACAGCAGGAGTCAGGTTGATCTCACTGGCGACAGAGAGCTTTACTGTTTCACAGATCAAGGTACTGGCTGCTGCCCACAGCTGTGGTCTGATCCAGAGGAACAGGATCAGTGTGGAATCCCTGCCATTGACACAGATGATTTGGGGGATGTAAACTATTGTAAGTGCAGAGGCTTTGCTGGGGACCTGCAGGTGTTCTGTTATTGGGCACACTGTAAAGAGTTCCCTCTTTCCATCTACGTTTGCAGCCTGGAAAACCTCTCATCATCAAAAACCATTCCCCCTTCTGCCTCCAAAGCGTTTGCCTGGTGGAAGTGAGACACCAGCAGCTTTTAAACTGTAACTGCTCGTTGTGCCTCATGAATATGTGAGGGTTACACACAACGTGTGACTTCCCCGGAGCCGTACAATAAACCCCCATGTTCCTGCGTTAATGGGAGGTTCTGATTGTACTCCCCTGGTCTGAAACTGGGGTTGATGGGGTTTGTCCTTTTGTAATCCCATGTTCCTCCTTGTACCAAACCATTACTGCACACAGTGGGGCCGGGGCAAACCCTCTTCAGCAAAGCCCTCCTGTTTAAATATGAAACTGGACATTATCCTTTCAGCCTCTGGTGAACAGAAACACGACTCAGCAGGGTGTAGGCATCACTACTCACCCACCCTATATACCAGCCTTTGGATTCCTTCAAAAATAAACCCCTGGCAGGCCAGAGCCAGGCAGGGTTGCAGGGAAGCCAAGCAGTGCTGAAGCTCCTGTGCCAGCCCGTGGGGTTGCAGCAGTGCCAGGAGGTGGGAGAGGTGAGAGGTGAACGCTCCAGCTCCATCACCACCGACCACGGGAGCAAAGCGTGCCACGGAAAGGGAAGGCATGAGTTGTTCCTGGCCCAGACGTGTGTGGCGAGGGGTGGGAGCAGAAGCAGAATTGCAAAAAGCTGAGTCAAAATTTTGTCTTCTGAAGTTACTCACTTCCTCTTTTAGGAAAAAAAAGCCTTGCTGTGGCCCTAAAAAGAAGCCTGGGCTGTATGGCTGCCTCTGCATCCTGACTTCCCCCAAATCTGGAGGTATGTACTGTGTGCCTGCTGCAATTATCTCTTTTCCACTTGCAAAACAGAGCAGTGTGTGTGTATGGGGAGGGTGAATCTATACCCCATTTTACTCTGCAGCCAAGACTCTGATCTCAGTCACACTCTCTTGACCTCAGACCAAGTTTCATGCATTTCTTTTCCTTTCTTAGGTGGTTAATACTCTTAAAAGAAGAAACAGATGGCACCCATTTGCAGATGTCAAACGCTTGCCTCACATGGTATCTTTACTATTGGATTTCCACCAGAGGCTCATGGCCCAGATTGTGAGATTTCAATCATAATCACCAGCTTTAAACCTGAAGCAAACATTCACTGACCAGGTCGAGCCACAATTACACTTACAGCTCTCTCTCAGTGCTTCTGATTCTTTCTAAAATTGATGACAGATTGGAGTACAGGAAAGGGATTAGGGGTGCTTAGAGATCAGGAAAGAGAATATTAGAAGTGGATATTGTTAAATAAGAGATGGAAAAACAATAAAAAATTCAACTCCTGCACTCCTGGGAGGGGAAGGGCAACCTAAGAGCAGAACTAACAGAGGAGAAGACCCACACATCTCAGCACACGAGCAGATAACTCGGCAGCGATGCTCTGTGTGTTTGTGATGAATACTCTGATTTATGCTCTGCTACCCTCCTGCACAAACTTTCCCACGTGAGCCTCCCGAGTGGAGCAGACAGGTGTGACCCTTTGTGTCGCAGAGAGAAGCAGCTGTCAAGCTGTGAGGTTTGCCACTGCTTTCCCCAGGACAAGGCTCTCGGGGCTTCTCTCTCTTTGTTTCCTTTCCTGGTTTTGAATAAGGGTTCCTGAGCTTCCTGGCTGAGGCACACAGGACGTGCTGTTCCCTCTGGGAGAGAGGTGTTCAGCATGGGATGTCCCTGTCTCTGCTTGCAGCTGCTCTGTGCTAAGAACGAAGACACCTGGACCTGCTGACCCCCGTGGCAGTTTTGTAGCACATTTACAACGTGGCACATCTCCCAGAAAAGTGCTCTGTAAGGTGTAAAGCAGCCTCTTCCCTCTCTAAGGGATTCATTCTGGAAACTAAAGAGGGGCACTTAACCACAGCGCTGACACTGCCAGGTGTTTCAGACACACTGAGTCAAAGTGCTTGTTCCACAAGGCCGAAGTGCCTCATCTCCCCACCTTCACCCACAGCAGCTTCTGAAGCACAGGAAGGCATCAGCAAATCCCCAGCTGAGTAAAGTCCAGGGTACAGGAAAAACACAGCAAAAGTCAAGTTAAACATCATACACGAGGTGACTCCTTGTCACAGGCACAGATCTGGTCCCTTTTCCTCCACCAGGTACATTCATTTTGTCTGTGTTCAGAGCCTGAGCTGTGCTGATGAACCACACTGAAGCACAGTGTCAGTAAGGGGCCTTCCCAGGCTCATTCAGGTGCCTTCACAGGCTCAGGAGCACCACTTTTCTGTCCCTCTGCCCTCATCAGGTGTTGCTTGCTGGCGACAAACTGAGCTGCAAAAGCATGAGAGCAGTGAAGAGTCCACAAGTTCATCATCTGCACCAACTGCTATCAGCAATACAGAGCCCAAGGAATGGGGAGGTACATAACCCCTCCTGGGATCCCTGCATCTTCAGCTGGGTAATACCTCCTCATTTTGGGACACACGTAATAACCCCCCAAACACAGGGGATTTCATGTCTCACCTGCTCACAGGTGTTCTGATTCCCTGTCTGCTTTTTCCCCTGGTGGTATTTACTGGATTTCCCTGTCCCTTGCACTCTGTGCTTGGTATTGAGTCGAGATACAAACACATCAGCTCGGTTTCCATCTCCTCCTCCATCTTCCCTCCAGA